GGGGTTGGTGTGGGTATTGCTTTAGCCGTCGGACTGAAATACAGCCTCAACAGTTCCTGTGATGATAAAGTAACAAAAGCACAGCGGACTGATCGATACAGTGATGCCATAAAGGTTAGCAGGGACCTTGTGGAGCGGATAAAGGTAGGCACAGAGGTAGGCCTGTGGACTGCTTGCTTATAGATTAGTCACTTATCCATTGCTTTTCCTCCTTATATTTCCTGCCTAACTTCAATGCCACCTGTATCTGTCTGTCTGTTTGCACTCAGGCTGAGGTAGGGGCCCCAGGGATGGTGGTTGGGGTCTCTGTGGATGGTGCTCAAGTCTGGTGTGAAGGTTGGTCCCTGCAAAGTCCACTTTAAAGGTGCTACATGTAGCATTTATATAAATTGCACTTAATTCAATGTAGCTGGTTTTGGTCTGCCCAGCATAGTTTTGTATTGTGGGCCAAATGCCAGATTATTGGGCCCAATGCTGGACTGGTGCCACATTGGCTCACAACCATTGACAGTAGCTCACAACACAAAGTAATGCTGGTCTAATGTTAAAGTGTGTGATAATGTTTTCTATAAAAGCAGACACCTGTGCAACAACTTTTGTCAAATTTGGGCCACCAACAATAGTACAATTAGGGCTATACACAATTATTTTCATTATCAAGTAAACGGACAATCATTTAAATGGGTGTTTTATTCATTTTGCCTGTAAGACACGAGAGAATAGTAAAAAAAGAAAGAAAAATCCCTTCACAATCTCCCAGACTCCTGGGAATGTCTTCAAATTACTTTGTACTAAACCCAAAAACAATGTTTACAATGATTTTAAACAGTGGACAGCAGCAAATCCCAGTGCTGGAGAAGTTGGAGCTGGAGAATGTTTTTATAGTTTTTGCTTGTAAAATGGCTCAAACTAATTTCTTTTCAAAATAGCTTTTGATTAATTTGTCACTGCTAACTCTGTCAGTTTTCTTAGTTGCTGATAAAGTTGCAAAGTCCATGCTAACATCATGAACATTATGCCATTTGTTTATGACATAATGTCTTGTTTTATTGGCATGTTTTGCTATGTAAACTGGTTTACCTTTACTTTGGTACGAGTTTGGTTAGTCCGACGTGGACCCACAAGACAAATGAATGCTTTGTTATATCAACGTTGGCAAGGTTGCTAATGTTGTGCCTTTGCATAGTATTGGCCAATACCCCAGAAATCTGCCATTCTTCCTGATGTCCTCTTTTGCAATAAGTTGTTTGGAGAGTGTCAACCAAATGAACAGCAGCTCAGCATTGGTTTACTACCTAGGAGAAACCAAGGAGAAAAATAAATTATTAACAAACAAATAGCTTTTAAGCTTTAGCTGTGTTTGCTTTGGAACACTGACCCACTTCCAGTTAACTAAAATGGCCTTTTGTTTGTGCCATGAATTAAGCCAACAGATTCACGGAGAAACTTGACCCAACAGCACACAATGTGAAATATAATCATCCTCTTTCCTTTACTGGAAATGATGTTATAATAGGTTTTCACAGTAAATTATTAAATGAAATGCAGTACGTGGATTCTTTAACATAGTCCTAGAAGCACATAAATATTCTTATATGATGCATGTTAATTCTTCATGTTATTCAGGGATGGGTTACGCCGATTTGGAAAATCGTGTGCCGTGCAGCCCAGAAACAGTGCTGCGAATCGCCAGCATCAGTAAGCCCCTCACATCTGCAGCTGCTGCACGACTGTGTGAGGAGGGGAAACTAGATCTGGATGTCCCGGTCCAAAAATATGTCCCAGAATTTCCCCAGAAACAATTTGATGGACAGGATGTAAGTTACTTGAGCAAAATGTTAGTAATAAGATCATACTGTTCCTTTTTTCGTGTTCAGCTCAAATGCACATCATTGATTCTGTCCTTTCAGGTCACAATAACCCCTCGTATGATTCTGTCGCACCTAAGTGGCATACGTCATTATGAGAAAGATGCAAAGAAAGTGAAGGAGGACAAGGAGAAAGCCAAGCGACTTCTAAAGCTACCAGTAAGCCACCAGAAAGAGGATGAAAAGAGCTCATCTGAAAACAAAGATAAACCTGCAATAGAACAGAACACCAAAACCAAAGAAGCCACACAGAAGAAAAAAGAGTTTGAGCATGAGGAATACTACTTGAAGGACAACTTTGAAAGTGTCACTCAGGCGTTGGACCTCTTTAAGGACGACCCGCTCATTTTCAAACCTGGTAAAGCACATATTTACTTACTAAACCATTCAAATATGACACAATTCCAATGTTAATTTCCTGATGAGTATGGCTGTGTTTTTCTTACTACATGCAGACACCACTTTTCTGTACTCCACCCACGCCTTTACCCTGCTTAGCGCCGTCATGGAGCGAGCTGCTGGACAGCACTTCCTGGATCTCATGATGAACATGTTCCGTGAGCTGGGGATGCTCAATACTGTGCCTGATGAGAATGACCCTATTATTTACCACCGCTCCAGGTAATCTATAATCACCAGTGTGAAGTTATGTCCAAATTGCTGTGACAAGTCACCGTTGAGTACAGCTGGAGGTGTATCAGTAACATCAGAGTAGAACTTTGTGGAGATCTGTTATTTCTTAGAGGCGGCTTTGATTGCTCATGCTTGCCCAACATGATAAAAGTTCAATAGTGAGTCTATATTCTTTGTTGCTGCTCCTCCACAGATTTTATCATCTCAACAAGAGAGGACGTGTTGTGAACTGCCCGTATGTAGACAACTCCTACAAGTGGGCAGGAGGCGGCTTCCTTTCCACTGCTGGTGACCTGCTGCTTTTCGGTAACGCTCTGCTCTATAGCTACCAGGTGGCCCACCTGAAGGACACAGAGGGCTTGCTTCCTGGCTTCCTCAAACCCCAGACTGTCATAGATCTGTGGGCACCAGCTGACAGGACAGAGGCCAGCTGGGATAAGGATGGACTGTATGCCCAAGGTTGGCTGGTAGTGGAGAATCTACAGAAATATGGTCAGTGCAGGAAGCGCAGGCACTACGTGTCACACACAGGAGGCGCTGTAGGGGCTAGCAGTGTCCTCCTGGTGTTACCCATTGAAAACATAAAGGACAGCCGAGGACAGACTCCCCTTCTCCCACAGGGGGTGGTGGTCACCATCATCACTAACATGCAGTCTGTGGGACTCAACGGCACAGCACTGAAAATTGCTCATGAGTTTGACAAAGCCAGAAGCCTGTAAGAATAATCTGTTTACAGAAATGCACAAGTTTACATTTTACTAAGTATTTCAGCTAAAAGTGTGATTTTTATGTGATTTTGATAGATTTTTTTTAACAAGTCCAGAGGGTGTTTGAGGAAGGAAACGTGTGAAATATTTTTCAGAGAAAACTTTATTCAAAATTGGCAGGTAAGCCATTCCACCACTAGGTGGAAGCAAATTACTGCATTTCTAACACAAAAAAGGACACTGGTTTATGATATCAGTGTACAGAGTTCATGCATTTCTACATTTTTAAAAGCTAACACAAGAACATTTTAATATATATGTTTCTGCATTTGAGAGAAATAAAAACATTTCATACATGACAGAAAGAGGTCAATTGCTATTTATAGCAGCATGGTACACATCCAAAGTTTTCTACGTCACATGAAATATCTGTTTAGGGCCAACCCTGTACAGATATTTTCTCATAGCAACATGATATGCTCTGGGAAAAAACCCTGTTGTGTGTTTATCTAATAACTGTTTCCCTATCAGTAATAAATAGAGTGACATTTTCACAGCATACCTACTGCTGAGCCAACTTTCAAGATCGCTTTTTTATAATTACTAGTACTAAACTAAAGTACTAAAATCGACTTCAGCCATTGAGTACAATCAAACATCAAACAATTCCAGATTTGATTGAATGGGTGTGCTGCAAAGCTAGTTCATTAATGGTGACTATTATGCATTTTAGTAAGTAACTAAGCTGTCAGCTGTCCAAATCTATTTTTTTCCTTCTTCCAGTGTTGGTTCTTAGTAACTGCTGGAGAATACTGGAAGTCCATCAAAATAGAAAGACTAACAAACTGTTGGCAATGCAGTCCAACTGGTTTTAATTCCTTCCTAAGCTCGCTGAATTGAAGCATATTTGATGCCACCATTCTCATTATGAAACTCCTGGGATCTCCTGTGCCCCTGTTTTTAGATTTAAGGAGGCTGATGAATGGCTTGGGATACACTAATTATACAGACTCCCACACAGTGTATCACTAAGTTTGCAGTGTGTTCCTACATGTCCACTTTTGTCAGAGCCAATCTTGAGTTTAAAAACTGCACGGTGGAGATATTTTTGAAAAGTGAGGTCATCCTGACGAATCCTGTTTACTTCAAGGGGTAATTATGGTTTATGGTTAAGATTAGATTTAGGATTAGGTTAAGAATATGCTAAAGGCTGAGGTTAGGATGGAGGATGACTGGTCCATCAGGATCCTCAAGTATACAAATACAATATGTGTGGACGTGTGTGTGTGTGGTCTCCCACCAAAAATCACAGTCAGTCAAATCATTCAACGGGGATCATCACATGTATTTTTCACAATTTCAAAATATTTACTAATAGCATATTGAGCACATGCATTAATTGATATAGGGGGTTATTTCATTATTCCATATTACCAATTCAATGTTTAGAATAATATTACACATATTTTTTTTAACATAGTCCAACTATGCTTTGTATATAAATCTCAAAGCACATACATTGAAATGTGATTTAACACGAGTAACACCAGTGCCTACCTCATAGCTGTGTTTAAAACTGTGCGAGGTGTGATTCAATTCCCATCCACTCACACTTGTTTCACACCTTGCTTGTGTGTGTGTTAATGAGTTACACCTTTCTTTAAACTGCGAGGATTCCAGAAATCTCATGAGACAATTAATCAATTATCAGCTTCACCTGCCTTGACTTTAGCTGTGCAGGAGTTCTCCTTTGTTCTCTCATTGTCATATCCAAGTCCAAAAAGCCAAATGACACTTATCTCTCATCCCATCTGACACACAACCAAAAGAGAAACGAATGCACATCAGAAGGAAGATCATACTCTTGGTTTTACTCTCCAATACTGTGGTTGGTTGTTCTGTTGGCTCTCTTGCTTGGCTTTCAGCATCCTGCGTGTGGACACAAGTAATGATTATTAGCTTTAAAAGAACATATTCTAGCTCAAGTACATTAAGACTCTATAACCCATAACACACATCCACAATCTAATACTATTTTTAGATGCCTTGAGAACCTTGGTAATCATAAATAAAAAATCCATAATGTACTTACTTGCGTACGTAGTAGATAACAACACTAAGCATCACTAAGATGAGGAGGGCAACAATGACCATGGCTGCAATTAACCCAGCCTCCCCTGCATTGGCAGAACTGCTGAAGAGCTGGAACTGCTCACATCTGCTGCCTTTGTAATTTTCATTGCACCTGAAGTGAGACACAACGCACAAAAATGTAGGAAATGTGTCCCCAATATTGGGATGTTGTGACATCAACAGTATTCTTGTATAAAAGTTAAAGTCTCCTAAAGGACCATTATATTATAGACAATTGGAAAATTAAGTTTTGTATTTAACTTACACACAGGAGAGTGTATCCATGGAATGTATTTTATAGCAAGTCCCTCCATTCATGCAGTAGGTGGCTTCCTGCCCATCACAAAGGTCTCCATGTTCTACAGAGACATAAAACAGATTCAGGATAGATAGCTCTTCAAAAGAACACAACTGAAGTCCATTTATAACATTATTTATTTACATTGTTATTGTCATTTATTCTTACCTGCCATCATTTGGAACGATTTTTCTTCCGGTTTCCTGAGAACACCACAAACGGTTTAACTGTCACACAAAAGGAAGTAAACTCTCACTACCAAGGAAAGCTTGTCATAACCAGATATTACAGGTGCTAATAATGAAAACACACCTACACATATATAAAGTGTATTCAGTCTGAAAGGCAATATGAACTAATATTGAGTTTGTGAGAGAAATGTATTTACCCTGACTGAAATAAATCTGTCCTTACCAGCTCATGAAATCCTCGCTTTTGGTAGTTAGTGCAGGTTCCCAAGGTGAGTCATAGTGACGCTTCCAAGTAACTCAGAACTGCTCTTTGTTGGAGACGACACGTGGGCGTGTTCCTCCCTTGGCCTAAAAAATGTTGTGATTGCAGTTTGTCCACATTGTAAATGTCATACTACCAGCTGATTGTGGGTTATTTGTTAGTGTGTCAAATGGTGCCATTTAATGGCATATGATACATACATACAAGTAAAAATAGTCTCCCAGGAGTCATTTTGACAATGTTGGCCTCTGTGTGAGACCAGGGCGTTTCCAGACTTGTTTAAGTGGGGCACTGACTTAAGCAGGGGTGGCATCAAGTGTGTCTCAGATTTCCATCATTCCAAAGGGGAGACTCTTGCGTACCCATAGAACCCAATTTCATTCAGATATCTTGAGTCAGAGCTCAAGGGACCCCGTTGCAAATGACCATGCCAGTTTTTCCATCACCATAATTTAGCATAACTTTGGCTATACTTGTTTGCGTGACATGGTTTGTACCAATAGATGCATTCATCCAGTATCATACGATAATGAGTGGCACCTGTGGATGCCCCCCCCCCACCCCATGGAAACGCCCTTGTGAGACAATCAGATGACGTCTTGAGTGTATATTACATTTTGTTTTTATTCTTGGAGGTTTAGTTGCATCATGAGATCAGGCATGATGAGGATGGCTGAGGAAATCACCTGTTGTCCATGTGAGCTCAGCGTGCCTAGGGTTGTTAAGAAGCTACGGAATGATCAGTATGCAGAGAAGGCATGAATGGAATCGTGGGAACTTCTGTGTAGGTTAAAAAGATACCACGCCACTTCCTATAAACATATAATTATAGTTGTGTGCTCAGAACCGTTAGTTAACTCACCAACTGCCCCTCTTTTCTATTGTTTACTGCTTTCTTATGAAGAAATTGTAGTTGTTCTTAGTGATCATGTAATCAGTGCCAGGATTTTCACAGATACACGCCTCAATCCGGCAGCATTGTAGAGATACCAAGTTTATTTTGAGGACATTTTTCTTTAGTGTCTGATCATTTGAAAGCATGTTATAAGTAGACTACTAAGGGCCTCACCTGATAGACCTACCATGTTTTTTTATATATTATATTATTTATCTGGTAACAAATGACTACATAAATAGGAATAAATCAAAATAATTCACTAATGCTTTATAGATCAACTGTAAGCACCTAATGGGAACAACTTATGGCTTTCCAGGTTGTAAAAAAAAATCCCTTGGCTGGTGTTTATCCTCCTGCAGCATAAGCATTAATCCAATCTTTAGGATAGCGCCATAGTTCATCATATGAAGCCCCTCAGTGACCACTGACCTTCTGGAAAGGGGCTGTGGAAATCTGGACCAAAGTCTATTTATTAATTTCTAAACATTCCCAACTGCAGACTTGATAAATTATTGTAAAAATAGCCCTTTATTAAAGGCGCATTGGCCTGTATAACTGTAGGATTTATTGATGGATGGAGCTTCTCTAACTGCTTTGTCTCCAAACAGAAATGATAAACACCAGCCAAGTTTTTTTTCATATCCTGCCAACCCCAAAATGTATTGCTTTAATGAAACAAGCTATATTATTTATTAACCTTTAATAAAGCCATTAGTTACAACTTTAAACCCCCTTTTAAACCCTTTTATTAGAAAGTGGCAGCCTATTTGCTGACACCAATAACAGCCCCGATCTTGGGAATAAACTCCCAAATCTCAGCAAGTCTATGGGAACATTAACAGAGACGCTGCAGACTAATAAATGCCATTAAATGCAGCAGGCTCAGTCATTATAATCTCACTATTGGGCACGACAAAAACACTTGAAGTCACTGTAAGAGTATTAGTGATTTTCCTTCTTTTTTTTTCTTCCGTGCGGGTGGGTTGTTATCGCGAGGAACTCTGAAGCTCAAGAGGTGAAGTGAAGCGAGTGTTTTTCTACGTCGACGCATCCAGGGTGGCATAGAAAGAGGGACGTCTGCAGGCTCTCATGGCTTAACAGGGCTATAGACTGCATATATGCTTTAACAGATATCACTGTGTGCGTGTGTCTTGTGTTTTATTTTATCATGTGTTTTGTACATCTAGCCCGGTTTCCTCCCGCGTTGACGGCGCTGCTCGTCACACATCTGTAGCCGCTGGAATCCCGTTTTCAGCACCTGGACAGCTCCCGGTCGTGAACCTCTTCTTATTATCGGGCACATGGAGTCTCTGGTGTGATTGTGGGGGGGAAGCCCTGTGCGCACATTATTCCTCCCCTCCGAAGATGTCGGTATTTTCCTGATTCAGTGACAGCCTCGTCGTCTCCGCTGAAGAATGCTGCTTTCGGTCCGGAGTAGGTGTTTTCGTCGTGCGCTGTCTTCTGAGAGGCGATACGGGTGCTTGGCCAACGCAAATTTAAGGGGAATCGCAGCCTACACAAAGCCAGATCTGAGCTTCCCTCACACTTATCATCATCATCGGCGTGGAGGGAGATATTACCATCATCAGTGCGAGGGCAAAGGAGTCACGACCACACTTTACACAATGTAGAGCACGGAAACAGAAGAGGTTAGTGTGCCTTTGTGCTGCTTTTCGAGTCGGTGGTGATTGTAAGGGCACTGTGTAGTTGATGTATTTGTGTTGGTTTAAACGAGAATGAGTGCGTGGCCTCTAAGCACAGTGGGAAAATGTTAACAGCAACCATGGCTGTTTATGTAGCTACAGGACTACTGTTTATGTAGCTACAGGCAAATGCATGTTTGATTAGTTGAAATGCAGAATGCATTGGACAGAAATAGCACCCACAGTTTCTGTTTGGTGATACAAAATAGTAAAATCTAAAAAATAAAAAATAAATAAATTGCTCCCTTGTGGGCAACCACCTTCGCTGATGAAGCAGTTACTGTGTAGACTACACTTAAAGTAATAAGTGGTAACTCAAGATGCCTATTGTGACATTCCCTTGGATATTTAGTCCAGAAACACTTTGCTTTGCAGTAAATTACCCCCAGAATCAAATACGTACATGCACATTTGATCCCACTTGCCTTTCTGGTCACCTCTGCTGTGATTGCACAGAGAAAGTAAAGCACCCAATAAGTATTTTGGACTGTGTTAACCTCTTTGACTTTCTGCTTATCTTATGGCCAGAGCAATATCTTTTACCCGGAGTATTATACTAATGAGCACACTTTTGGGCACTGCAGTGAAACAGTGTCACTCTCAGCCCTTGAATGACCTGGGCTGATTTATCCTGAGTAGCATTTAATCTGCTGTGCTTCACTACATTACTCTGCTGTGGTCTCCTGCGGCTGTGAATGCTGACTCCTCACCTCTCCATGTCTGAGGGTTTTTCCGCTGTGCCTCTGTGTGTCACACAATATTCCAAATTCATGAAATATTGTGCAAGTCATGAAGATCTAAACAATGCAAATGTGTTATCATAGCAGTTTTGCAGTTATGATTTATCTGTTGTTTACAGCTGATTTCAGTGTAACAATTACTTTGCAACACCCAGAACTGGGCTTTTCGGCAGTAGTAAATGTTTCATATTAAAGCAGTGGCTATGTGTTTGTGACGTTCTTGTCCGGTCATGTCATGTCTGTTCCTTCAAAGCAGCTGGAGTGGGCTTTCACTGAACCGACTTGGACATCAATGGCTCTCTATCCTGTCGCACAAAGAGCTAGCATCCTGCTGTACTTGCTATGCAAGAGGTGTGATGTTCCTCAGCCCCTGATTCACAGAGCGGAGCGTATATTGAAGGAGATTTAAAATCCATTACAGTTTAGTGCTCCCCAGGAAAACAGTTGAAGTATAGCTAAAGCTGCAGTTAGGACAGGGCGCCTTCAGGAAAAAGCCTAAGCATTGATACTTGATGATTATGCATGCATTTGTGGTATAACGCAAACTGTATATAGATATTTCATAATTTTGAGATTAAATGTGCATTTTTGTCCTTGGAAAACAGCAGTTTGCAAAACAATCTACCCTCAAGGTCTATTGTTTGCTGTTCTGAAACTCCCAGTCATATCTCACGATCTTCCTCAGATGGAGTTTGCCCGTTATTTGCTTCATGAATTTCTTTTTCTGTAGTAATTACATTCTTAATTATTTTTGCATTTTCTATAGGTGTGGTAGGAGCCAGGTCTCTGCAGTGGTGAAATCACATTTTGCACTTGGGGTCATTTAGTGTGGACGTCTATTTGCAGCAACAAGACCTCGACATGAGCAACCCCCAGTGAGTATAACACCCGCCAGAGTCTTGTTTGAAACCATGTCTGAGAGAGTGTGAAATCTTAAATCTCTGTTTATGAACATGCAGTCTCATGCAGCGGGAATCTCAGTGTGGTAGGGTATGATTGGCAGAATGGGACCTGCATATTCTCATGCCCCTCCTGTAAATGACTTTGAACAGAGATCAGCGGGAAAGCAGCGCTCGGCCTCGTCCGGCATCCCTATGAGCAAGAGAGTGGCCGGCCATCTCCAGCCTCCGCTGGTATCTCTTAGCATTCAGGAAGGATGTTCACTTGTCATCTTCCCTTATTAATAATTACTCTGTGTGTGTGGTCCTTCAGACAGGCCCTGCATTCTGATGACAGCCATGGTTGGGGCTAAGAGAATGGAAAAAGAGAGGGAGCAGGAGAATGTAGTGGAGTGGGAGGAGGTGGAGTGGAGTAGAGTGGAGTAGAGTGGAGTGGAGTGAGAGGTGAATGCAAAATGGGTTCAGTCAGCTGCATCTTCTGATTAAAGGCACAGGATGCTGCTTGCAACCAACAGGGAGCTCCATCTGGGCCTCTGACCAGCCGATTAGCACAATTGATGGCTGATTACAAGTCCATTTGAAGGAGAATGTTGGTGCAAAAGATCTGTAAGTATATAATATAGGGAATGTGTTGACTGGTTAGTAGTACAAAAGGCATGATTTAATGCTGCTGAATGTCTGTGACTCTCTGTGAAGTGACAGATGGGAAACTCATGCAGAGAAAGGTCTTTGGAGTTATTTTCACCCCTGCTCTCTTAGACTTGATGCTCTCTCTCTCTCTCTCT